AATTAGAGACTAAAAGCGGATATAGGCTATGCTAGGTAGGTAGACCATGGAAATCCCGGTCCAAAAATTGGTCTTAAGTAATTAGAGTTAGACCTGTATTAATATTATGAAATTTCCTTTACCAAAAGAGCTCCATTTTCACGTCATTCATAAATAACTAACTGCATACAATACTAGCGTTATTATACGAACGAGTAATATTTAGTACTTTTTTCATTATTTTAGGCTAGCCTAATTATTTATTTATTTTTCTTCAATATCTTAGCTACGCAAGTCAATAGGCCTAGGCTAATTCATATGTCAAGTTTAAAAAAACAAAATGTTAATATATATTTATAATATAAATAGCTAATTTTTTGTTTAATGTCAGTGCAATATTTTACCTTTCTTTATCCTTTGAAAATCGATATAAATTATGACCCTGTTTGTATGATGTGTTGCAATTTACTGCACAGCAACGCCCTCCAATACCGTACGTCGCCATGGCGCATCACGGTGTACAATTTTTTTTTATTGAGAATTGATAATAAAATACGCGACGACTTGGTAACGAAAGTTTGGCAAAAGTTTTTTTTAGATCCAACTGTAGGAGGAGTCCCATTGTTTGTATTCCCACCATGAACTCTATCTTGTATTTCTAGTCTTTGGGTCTGATCAGAATCCAGAAGCAACATTCCCAGGACAGTATTGCGATTGTGAAACATTTTGTATTGAAAATAAATACTGATATTGATGATGATGATGCATTCTATAATCATGATTATAGCATTGCTCTTATCCGTTACACATTTTATCTGGTTTACATTACAATTTTTATATATTATTTAGATATACTGTATCATATATGTACTGTACTATATAGAGAACTGTATACTGTAGTTTGTCTCTTTGTATTACATTATTTTATTTTTTGGAGTGACATTCATACTATTTAGGGATAACACTTTTCTTTGAATTTAGAAGGAAGGCATGTTTTATGACTTATAGCAATTGTAAGTTGAAGTAAACCAATATTGACAATTATGTAAAAACTGATCATTGTCATAACATTATTCTTAGGTATAAAGACTGTCTCTTATACACATCTAGATGTGTATAAGAGACAGAACATGCTCCTTGCTTGATTCTACACAATCATTCAAGAGCAATAAATAAATGAATACTTGTATTCGTAATAAAATGTCAATGAATACATCAATGTAGATACTTAAGATTGTTTGACACAAAAACTCGTTCATTCCAATTAAAGATGTCATCGCTGATAGAGAAAATTGTTAGATTACTGTACCACTCTCTCCCATCATCATCAATTTGGGAAATTTTGAAGCAGTAAATAAAAAATATTTTTTTATTTACCTCATCCAAATTTTTAGAAACATATAGTGCGGTATGTGGAAAGTCCATATCAACCTACGACGCAGATGTTATGAGCATTTTGTCATTTTAAATGTAACGTTTTAACCAAACATGCAAACTGTCTCTTATACACATCTAGATGTGTATAAGAGACAGCACTTGATATTTCGTCATTATATACTAATATCCCTCATGAAGAAGGTGTTAATGCGTGCATTTCAAATTACAAGCAAATACGGGGCAAAACCCCATCGAAATCACATCTCCGTGAACTTATCATGCTGATTCTGACCAATAATAACTTTGTTTTCGGCGACGGTCATTACCTTCAAATTCATGGCACAGCGATGGGCACCAAAATGGCTCCATCTTTTGCTAACTTATTTATGGGACAATTTGAGGCCAATTTCCTGTCCCTACAGCCCAAGAAACCAGATGTTTGGTTTCGTTACATTGATGATATCTTCATGATCTGGACCCATGGTGAAGATAGTTTA